GGGGGGGGGGGGGGGGGGGGGGGGGGGGGGGGCTTTCCTCTCTTTTTTCTCCAATGCCCGTGTGCTCTGGGAAGTCAGGCTCATGACAGCCTGTCTGCTAAGCTCTGGAGGGTCACACAGGCCCGGCCAAAGGCCCAGGCAGGACCGGCGAGAACAACCACTGCAGTCACCGTAACTGGCACCAGCAGCCCTGCCTGGACGGGGTGAGAGGCAGGGAAGCTATTTGAAGGAAACAAACCCCCAAAGGTACATTTCTCTTCCATCTGGAATGGACTCGAGCGAAAACACTTAAATAAAAAATCAGTTTCCCAGTTAATGAGGAGAACACCCAACAAAGTCTTGAGTGAACCTTATGCATGCAGTGGCTGCAGTCAGGACCTGTGGGTGCCACACACCGGCCCTGGGGCACTGCGAGTGCAGAACCAGTCAGCGCTCGTCCAGGGCATCACAACCCAAGGTCTGTCAAGGCATGGCCGACCCACTAGGACCGGGGAGCAGCGCAAAGCTGCCGCCGCCTCCAGGAATCACAGCTGGGAGAGAACACAGAGCCTGTCTGGTGAGCACAGCGTGTGGCATGCATTTTAAGTGAAAGTCACCACATAAAGGTCAGCCTCCTGTTTCTCTTACTTCAGAGTAAATGGAAATGGAAAAATACATACTAAACAAGCATGTCATGGCTGACATTGAGCGTAAGAAACAAAGACGAGGTAGACCACAGGCTCAGTACTGCAGCTGTGCGAGTGGCCGAGCACAGGCTGGGCACTCAGCACCCAGCTGCAAAACCCAGTGGTCACAGGGAATTAACTCACGGTCGGCCCTCTCCAGAACATGGACCTGACCTACCCTGTGCCTTCCAGTCACCATGAGGATAGCAGTGAGTGCTCAGGCTGGCCCAGTGCGAGTGCAGCCCTATCCCAGGTCCTCAGGAATAATGATCACTGGGCACCCTCCAGGCACTGCATGGGAGACACCCAGCCCTTCCCCAGGAGCCACGGTGTACAAGGGACTGAGGGCAGTGCCCAGCCTCACATGGCCTGGGACCCCCACTGCCCAGGGTAAGGCCAGCAGGTCACTACTCGGCTCCCAGAGCCCCACATCCTGGCCACCAGGTGTGGGGTTGAGGGCAGGGGATGGGGAACACAGCCGGCTGTAGTGTTGGGGGCAGCAAGGTCAGACACAAGCTCCACCCTCATACAGATGGACCCCAGGGCTGTGCCAGGTGGGCCCAGGACACCTGTCAGAGACAGGGCAGGCAGGAACCAGCTCAGCCATCAGAGCCCGTGGCCTGAGCAAGTGCCAAGCTCGGGATCAGGAAGGCCCCAGCCCTGCTCCAGCACATCGAGCCCTGGAATCTGGGTGTGTTCCTCATCCTCCTGCCTTGGCATAGCATGTCCCCTCACCCCATTCTCCATGGTTCAGCGAGCCTGGACAAGCAAGTGCACAAGTGCCACTGGCACCACAACTACACACAGAACAGCCACTGTGCCTCAGTTTCGCCAGATTAAATGAGGAAAGAACAGTACCTTGCCTCACCTGTTTCTTTTCTTGTACCATTTCTTTGAAATTTTCTCCCCCATTTTCTTACTTTTTTTTCCTGGAGCCCCTTCCTATCTGGTAAATGTTGGGGCCCCCCACAAAGTGCTCAGTCCTGTCTTCTCCCCCGTTTTCCACTTTTGTTCTTCAGTTTTGCTCTAAATTCCAAGAGGTGGCTCCTGGTCTCTCTCCTGCCCACAGATCACATTCCAGCCAGGTATGCAGCCTGCACAGCCTCGGTGTCCAGATTTTTCTCCCTCCTGCTGATAGCTGAGCAAGACAACATGCTGTCTGGCGACGGAAATCAGAGGACATCCATGAATCTTGGTTGTGCAAGTCACAACACAGATGTTAAACCAGCTGCAGGCGAGCCAATGTGGACAACGCAAACCAAGGTGGAAACTCATCCAGGAGAACCCAGGCATCTGCCTCGCACTGCTTCCATGCGGGGCAGTAGGGACGCACAACGTTGCCATGACTGCTAGATGTCCTCCGCCGCGGCTGCCGGGACCCACAGCCCAGGTTCTCTTCAAGGCACCTTATCCTCGACGGCAGCACTTCCCATTCTGTCCAAGACCCTGCCCCCTCACCACCCCAGCCAGGGCATGAGAACAGCCTCCTGTGCTTGTCAGACCTCCAAGTCTTGTGCACAGGTGTGAACCTAGAGGTCCCACATGGAAACTCCTTGGTGCCCCCTTCACAGATGTCCAGGGTCCGACCAGTGCAGCTATGCTGGCAATGGCATGGCAGCTCCCAGCTGGTCACAATAATGACCTCCTAGGTGCCCCTGGTCCCCTGTGGTCTGTTCTTTACAGAGCCTTTTAAAGCAATTCCTTGGCTCAACCCTCCCAGGCCCATCTCAGTAGAGGGAACCTCCAGGCCTCACAAACCACAGGCTCCACCCATGCCAACCCTCCCCGCAGAACACAGCAGCTCCAGACCCTTCCTGGGACAGACATGATTGAGACCCCCTCCCCCACCTCTTCAAGTCTGGCCTCGTGTCTCATCCTGATAAGGCCTACCCTAACTGACCTTCTTAAAATTGCCAGCCGCTGGGCCGGCCCGGTGGCGCACTGGAGAGTGCGCTGCTTGAGAGTGTGGCGCTGCTCCCGCCGAGGGTTCGGATCCCATGTGGAGACCGGTTACCGGTTCCCGCACACTGGCTGAGTGCGGTTCGGGCGCAACACCGAGGGTTGCGATCCCGTTGCCGGTCAGTAAAAAAGACAAAAAGGAAAAAAAAAAAAACTTGCCAGCCACTCCCCACGCCCAGATCCCGTCCTACATATCCCTGTGAAGCACACTTCCTTGTGTCTATCAGGACACCCTCAGTCTTACTTCCCAGCCCTCCCCCACAGAACACAGGCCCCTGGGCTTCCCCAGCCACTGTAAGGCGAGCTCAGCTATGGCCCTGTAGGTCCCAGGCGAGCACAGCGAGTGTTTGGGGGAGGAGAGCCGCGGTACTTGTGAACACGTAAGCAGCAGCCCCAGACAGGCACACAGGAAGAGAAGGAAGCCTGTCAGTTGGGGAGAGCTAGGCTGGGAAGGAGCAGGTGGGACAGCACGAGGGACCAGTAGCACCAGCTGCGATACGGCGGCCACACTGTCCATCACAGGAGCTTGGGCCTGTGGCAGAGATGCGCCTGCGCGAGAAGACCTGAGACACCAGAGGCCAGACCACGCCGTGCAGCAGCCAGGAGCGCCTACCCTGTCACTGGCTGAGGACCCAGGCGCTGCACCCTCTGACTCGCCAACACACTTGTGAATGGGATGCCACACCCTACGGGGCAGCAGTGAGGTGTGGAGTCCCCCTCACAGGACACATGGCTCGCCTGTTCACCTCCTGTCACCAGATGCAAATGAGCCGCCGCTGCCCTCCCTCCTGGCAGGCGGGACAGACACGAACACAGGAAGCAAGGCTCAGCGTGGCAGGCCAGGAGGGTCACCAGTGGGCACCGTGCCTGGGGCAGCTTCTGGAGGCTGCTTGAGAGGCCTGAGTGGAGCAGGATGCAGGCGCCCAGCCTAGGAGTCACAGCAAGCGTGTGCTCAGAAGTAGTGGTGGGCCATGGGCCTGAACAGCTGAGGCCACTGAGGCTGAGGAGCAGTGTCCAGCTCATCTCCTTCCGAGGCCAGTCTAAGGCTGAGTAACAGTGGGGCGGAGAGGAGCCAAGTGTGGGAGCCAGCAGTGGGGGGGAGGCTCCTGTGTGGCTGGGCTATGGCAAGGCCCGTGAGGTGGATGTGGTGGGGGCAGGAGCAGAGCCAAGGCAGTGGCAGATCTGTAGACACCCGAACGGGGCGCAAGTGCGGTGGGAGGGCACTCACGGCTTCAGGCCTAGGCCATGTGAGGCCACTGCCCAGGCGGGAGGGGCAGTCTACTGCTGGCGTTCACAGATGCAGGGACTGAGGCCTGCCACAACCCAGATGGGAGCCACACACGGGTGGGTGGGATTTAAGCTGTGAATAGGGATAGGATCACTGGGTTGGACACAAGGGGGAGGCCGCGATGGGCTGAGGAGCTGGCTGAGGAGGAGAGGGAGCAGCAGGGGCCGAGCGCAGGGCGGGGTGTCCGGGAGGTCACAGAGCGGGACGCAGGACTATGAAGGCACACTCTCACAGAGGTTTTGCCACGAGAGGTTTTCAAATGCCGTCGTTTTCATTAACGTGGGACATTGACGTCACCTTAAATGGAGATGGGTGAGACCATGCACCTGTAGAAGGAATCTGACCCTGGGGCACACACTCTGGTCTGGGAGGCTCTGACCATGGGCCCCCACAACAGTGGATGACTGCCCAACAGCAGAGGGCCTCCCCAGCTAAGCTGGCACCAGGTGCAGACAGACCTGTAAAGACCCGGTGAGGGAGCTGAGAAACAGCTGGGCGGGCCAGCCACTCCGCTGGGCTGAGCAACTTCTAGGCATGCAGGTGCACCAAAGCAGGGCATCAGGTGATTCTGCAGCCGGAGCACCGGCACCACCAAAAACAGGCTCATGCAAACGTTCCCTACTCTAGATACAGCTGAAGCTCTCTCAACTGTGGAATGAGGACAGAACACCCTGCACGTATAGCGTGAGAAAGGCAGGCATCGGGGAGATGCGCCCCCTCCACGCTCTTCCTAACCAGAGCACGTTTAAACTACTGCAGGCAGGTGAGATCCTGAGTTCAAAAGCTACCATCCGAGATGCACATTTACACAAGGGCAAGGGCCTCGCACTAGCTGGTGGGGGACGCCACTAGACGCCAGGCAGAGGATGAGGGCACTCGAGGACCTGTGCAGGGAGGGAGCAACATGCCCAGGCTGCCCACCTCGATGCCGCTCTGCCGCGCCAACTTCACGGCCGTGCTGTAGTAGCCGCAGCGCAGCAGGTGCTCGGCCATCATGCGGTCCATGCGCTTCCTCTTCCACGTGCTGGCTGCCGCTGGCTGGTCGCTGCTGTGCTCCTTGAGGTGCTCGATCCTGCGCTTGCACAGCTTGGCGCTCTCATCCTCAGCCTGGATGGACTCGACCGCCTGAGCCACACGGAACAGAGACATGTTCAGCAGGGGGACATGCATCCGCAGCCCAAACCTATGAAAAATTAAGCTGCCACTATACCAAATGCTCATGAAAAGAAGAGCAAGGAAAAATAAAAGGAAAGACGGGGATGTCACCAGGATTGTATGACAGAAATAAAAGGAGCTCTCTGCATGTCCACTAGTTTGTGCCTCACCTAGTAATTACTAACAGGTGTGCTAAAATCTACTGCTGTGTGGATCTGTTTTATTTCCAGTTATGTTATTTTTTGCTTTATACATTCTGAAGCTGTGTTGCCAGATGCGTGCAATTTTAAATTTGTTATACCTTCCTCATTAATTAAGCCATTTATCATTACAAAATAACTTCCTAAAATCTTTTATAATACTTTTTTCCTTAGAGTCAATTTTGTTCAAAATTAATACAGCTAGAGAGAAGTGCCTGTGCTGTCTGATGCAGACACCACCAGCTGCATGTGGTTGGCAAGCACTTGAAGGGTGGCTGAGGGACTGAAGTCTTCATCTTATTTAACATAAATGTTAACAGCCACACGTGGCTTAGGCATGAGCTGGTGCAGAGCAAGGAAGGCTTCTTTCAGCACTTCCACTACTTTGGGCTCCCAACTGCTGTCGAGAAGGCAGCTGTCAGGCTATCTGTTGTTCCTTTCAAGGGGCCTTTTCCCCTAGCTGCTTTTAAGATTTTTGTCTTTTTCAGTTTCACCATGTGAAAATCCTATGTAGGCTTGTTTTAATTTATTCTGTTTAGCATTATGAACTGGTGACTTTCATCAGTCCTGAAAATGTCCTGGTCGTTCTCCCTATACTGTCTCTGCCCCTACCCCCCAAATCCACCCAACGCAGTCCTTCTGGACTCTGGTAAAACACATCAGAAGCTTCTGCTCTGCTCTCTGTGTCTGTTGCCCTCTTACATACTTCCATCTGTTTATCTCTGTTTCATTCCAGATGTTTTCTTCAGACCCACCTTCCAGTTCACTAACTCTTTCTTTAGCTTTGTCTAATTATTAACTATTAAATTGTTATAAGAAAACATTCAGATTTTCATTTTGGTTATATTTTTCATTTCTGGAAGTTTTATTTGATTTCTTTTAAACTCTAAGTCACTTTTTACATTTTGTTCCCTGTAGGTTTTCAAGCTTTTTTTTTTTATTCTTTACACACAGTTCAGTGTGGAACCTGGCAGTTCCCACATGTGCAGTCTGTGCGGGGCTCTGTCTTTCCTGTGGGTCTCTCATCCATCAAGGTGTCTTCTGCACCTGGCTATCTTTGTGCTGGATGTTGTACTTGCTCAGATTGAAGGTTTACTCTCCATGACAGAATCTGCACTTACTCTGCCTGGAACCTGAACGCAGCACCAGCAGGGACACCACACACTAAGTGAAGGATCAGGGTCTCTGCACCACTGCATATTCTGAACCTTCTGGAGCACCCCTGCCTTGGGCTGTGGGGTCCCAGTTTATCCCCAGCAGGTCTCCACTTTCTCTGGCTCCTTTCCCAGGTCACTGGTCACACCTGTACTGCTGGGTAGCTGCAGCCCCACTGCTTTTTCACCTCTTACCCTGCCCTCCAATTCTAGACTGGTGATTCTTTTCTGCCTCATGAGCTCTTCGATATGTTCAGTAAGATGTTTTAAAATATCTTATCCCACTTTTTGGGTTGTTTTCAGTGAGCAAATTAGTCCATACCCTAGTACACTAGTCCTGGTAACAAGAAACCCCACATGCTCTTTTCTAAAAATAATAAATCAATCTGCTACCCATCCTGGCATTCTACTATCTGGGCATGGGACACTCCTGGAGCCAAGACAGTTCAACCCCTACAGGACAGGAGACTGGCCCGCACAGCCTGATGGTGGTCCAGAGCACAGACGGCGTGAGACTGGCCAGCAGTGCACCTCCCCGTTCTTGCCACAACAGTTTGCTTCCCTGTCTCAGCACCTTTTGATCAGTCATGGCCCTGCTCCCACAGAAGACAGCTCGTTTTCAAGACACACTGGGTGCTCATCCTTCCCGGCTGAGGAAGAACAGCCCAAGCGCAGGACCAACCTTCCTCTTGAGGACGCTGAGCTTCTCCACCACGCCGTCCAGGAGGCTGACCACAGAGTCCACGGCAGGGCAGCTGCTCAAGGTCTTCTCCAGCTCGGCCACCACCATGGTGACGTGGCTTGTCTCACGGTCGATGTTTTTCTGAGCAGCTCGAAAGCGTTTATTCAGTGTCTCATATGGCACCTAGGGAAGAAAAAGACGGCTCAGGACCACGTGGTTGGGGTGTGGGCACCTCCCGCCCCGCACTCAGGACACACCTGGCCTCCTTCATGGCACTTTCAGAGGCAGAACTCAGCTTTTAGTTCTCTCAAAATACATCTACTCCAAAGCTGGACCTCGGCCCACAACAGCCTTGGTGAGTGGAGGGACGATGAGAATGACTAATCACAAATGTGTGTTGTCCTAAATCTACACATAATTCTCTCTGAAAATTTTTTAAGTGCATGCTGCCAAAATAATCCCAGAGTTCTTCTAGAATAACAGACAGCTGAGGAGCCGATGGAAAAGGAGACAGTACTGGGTAAAACATGGGACTAACTGGGCAGGTGGGGGCAGGTGGCACAGCAGCAGAGCTGACGCAGAAGGTCCAGCAGGGGTTGAGGACGACAGACGGTGGCTCTGTGGCCATGAGGTAGGTGGAGGGAAGCCACAAGCATGCATGTGAAGTTACGAGTGCTTTTCACCTCTAAATGAAGCTCTTCCACGATACAATGCTTATTTTACCCCAATTATAAAAATATCCTAATCCCTACAGAATATCTGTAAAAGAAGAACTATGTAAAGACCTGTAAAGTTGCTGTTATCTTCCTGCCCTTCTAGAGGGAACCACTGGTGACATCCTTCTCTCCCATCTCCTGGGCTCCGTGATCTTGACACATCCCTGCCAGGCTGGGCCTCTAACGCTGCATCCTTGTCCGAGTCGTGGCCTCCTGTCATTACATGTGCTTGTGAGGTCTATCCCACTGAGTGCTGCTAGCCCTGACTTTGCTGTTGTAACAGCACCCACACGAGCCCTTCATCCTCAGCCGTACCCAGCAATGGAGAACAGAGCCTCAAGGCACAATGCCAACTCCACCGACACTGGGCAGGCACTGACTGATGTGGCTGGCGGCTGTCTTGCACCAGCCCCATGCTCAGGAGTGAGGCCGCAGAAAGGAGGCCTGGACCTGGCTTGGAGCCTGGGCTCCCCAGGAACAGGAGCAGTCCTGAGAGCGGGACACTCAGCTGGTGGCAAGGCCAGCATCGTCTCTTGGCTGCCACTCCCAGCTCAACCTCCCCTGGCCCAGCCACCCTCCACCCACACGTCCCCTGGGGCCAATGTGGACCCACCGTGGGTGGCAGTATACAGTGCCTACACATTCCCGTCCACACCTTGGGTCCGGGCAAGTTCACACGGGGAGTCTGTCTGCTGAGCAGGGACTTAGGCTCACTGGTGACCCAACGAGTCTCAAAGTGCTGAAGAGGTGGTGGGACGCCACCAACCACAACACGTGTAATAAGCCAGCAACTCTGTAGGAAGCAGGAGACAAGCCTGGTGAGGTGCCACACACAGGCCCCCCAGACAGGGCCCCACAGCAGCCTGGAAGTGGCAGGCACGTCCCTGAGGCTCTGTGATGGGGGCAGGCTGCCCGGAGCTGTGTGGCTGGCTGCGTGGTCAGTGGGACCTCCATCAGCCCACACTGCGGGCCTCCAAGGTGCTGTCTCCTGAGGATTCAGTACTTCTTGTAAAAAAAATAAAAGGGGAAGGGGCCTTTTGTTCCTCTTCCTGTATCCAGTGGCTGAGGAAGTCACCACAGGCAGCATGTCAGCATGGTGCCTAGCATGCAGAAGGCTCTTGATAAATATCTGATGAATAAATAAAAGTAGGAAAGCACAGATACAACAGGACCCTGGGGCAAGGCTCCTCTGGCCTCCCCGAAGCCCCTGCCCTGCAACAGCACCTGGTGCCTTGCCCTGGTGCGACCCTCCTGCACGATTCCACCCAGGTGTGTCCTGCCACAAGACTGAATTTCTAGGGGATGTGAAGTGCATCTCATCTCAACTCTAACCACGTCTGGTCTAACACTAACAACACAGGACAGTCTCTGCAGTCAGACAAAGCAATGCAGTCCCCTCAAAATGGACTCTGTGCAGCACCAACAGTTCTAATGGTCACCAGCAAAGGCCGCTTGGATGTCTCTCAGCTGCTCTGCAGGTCTATGCTTTCCACCATACTCACATGGGCCAGACAGTGCAGCCCTGGCAGGAGGCAGGCTGCGGAAGGGAACTCCTGTCCCACATGTCCAAGGGAGATAGAATCCTGCCCAGAGGCTTCATTGTGCCAAGTGCACCACGTTACAGAGGTGGGGGTCCCCGGGGGAAGCAGGGTGTGGGACACACAGACCTAAACATGAGCACCTGTGGAACCGCTGGAAGGAGCCATAAGGAGCCCCCAGAAGAATGGCTCAAGATGGGCAGAGGGCACTTGCTCACAGCTGTACACGCCCCCTCCAGATTCTGACGTTGCTAATCCAATTGCAGGTGTCAATCTCATCCCGGTGAAAGAGTGAGAGCTCCAGTTCCAGGGACAACAGGGACCACGTTGCTGGCTCTGCCCTGACACATTCAGGGCAGGCTTCCCTGAAAGCTCCCAGCACACAGCACCACAAACACCACTGGGTGCCATCAGGTGCTCCGTGCTGGGAAGACAAAACCAGGACAGAAGACCACGCGGGAGCAGAGGAAATCAGGAGGAAAGGCCAGCCCAGCCATACTCTCTTGTCCCACCTTGGTGTCCCAGCATCTCTGGAGCCCCCGAGGTCCCCCTGAGGCCCAAAACAGGGTCTTGCAAACCATCCATGGGGAGGACAGTTGACTGTGCTTCCCGTGTGACCTGGACTGACATTTTCATTAAACACAGTAAAACTGAATTACTAAAAAAATGAACTGAAACAAATCCCAAGAGACACAGTAAACAAAAGCTCCAAAGTTTTATCAGATTCAGACATTAAAATTATGTCAGTAGAGACTTCTGGTCAAGATGGCGGAATAGACGGTCCCGAGCGTCACTCTCTCCCACAAATCAACTGATTTAAACTATAAAAACATAACATCAAGTGCATATGGAACAGGGAGACGTCCAGTGGGGGAGGCAGAAGCTCCGCAGAGACCACATGCCCTGCAGTGCCTCGGTGCATCCCAGCAGCCCGGGCCAGAGTGTACGGAACAGGTAGAAGTCCAGCACGGGAGGTCGAAGCTCAGCAGAGACCACACACCCTGCGGTACCGCCCCATGATCCAGCAGCCCGGCAGAGTACAAGCTGACCAGAGAGGTGGCTCCCTGGAGAGGCCCAAGACCTGAGGCAACCACACATGCAAGGCACTAGTGGCCAACTGAGCAGTCACTGAGGTAGCCATACCAAATTGGCAACCACAGCAACATCTTAGTCAGTCAATAGTGTCAAACCTGTGGACTGTGAAACATCCTGCCACAATGAATAAACATAAAAAAAAAAGATACCAGAAATACGAAAAATCAAGAAAGTACACCACCAAAGGATAATAACTCTCAAGCTCTAGATCCTATAGAACAAGAAGCCCTGAAATGACTGACAAGGAACTTCAAGTGATAATTCTAAGGAAACTGAATGAGATACAAGAAAACTCAGCTAGACAGCATGATGAAACGAGGAAAAGTATACAGGATCTGAAAGAGGAAACGTACAAGGAAATCAATGTCCTGAAAAAAAATGTAGCAGAACTTGCCAAACTGAAGAAGTTATTCAGTGAAATAAAAAACACAACAGAGAGTTTAACCAGCAGGCTTGTGGAAGTTGAAGAGAGAACTTCTGAACTTGAAGATGGGCTGTTTGAAATAACACAAGCAGACAAAAAAGAAAAAGAAAAAGAAAAAGAAAAAGAAAAGAAAAGGAAAGAAAAGAAAAGAAAAGAAAAGAAAAAAAAGAAAAAGAAAAAGAAAAAGAAAAAGAAAAAGAAAAAGAAAAAGAAAAAGAAAAAGAAAAAGAAAAAGAAAAAGAAAAAGAAAAAGAAAAAGAAAAAGAAAAAGAAAAAGAAAAAGAAAAAGAAAAAGAAAAAGAAAAAGAAAAAGAAAAAGAAAAAGAAAAAGAAAAAGAAAAAGAAAAAGAAAAAGAAAAAGAAAAAGAAAAAGAAAAAGAAAAAGAAAAAGAAAAAGAAAAAGAAAAAGAAAAAGAAAAAGAAAAAGAAAAAGAAAAAGAAAAAGAAAAAGAAAAAGAAAAAGAAAAAGAAAAAGAAAAAGAAAAAGAAAAAGAAAAAGAAAAGAAAAGGAAAGAAAAGAAAAGAAAAGAAAAGAAAAGAAAAGAAAGAAAGAAAGAAGAAAGAATCAAATGCATTGAAGAAAATCTGAGAGAGATATTAGACAACCTTAAGCACTCAAATATCCGAGTCATGGGTATTCCAGAAGGGGAGGAAAAAGGAGATTGCATTGAAAACATATTCAACACAACAGTGGCAGAAAACTTCCCAGGTATAGGAAAAATCACAGATCTTCAGATCCAGGAAGTTCAACGATCTCCAAACGTATTCAACCCAAAAAGGTCTTCTCCAAGACATGTTATAGTCAAATTGGCAAAACTCAAAGACAAAGAGAGAATCTAAGAAGCTGCAAGAGAGAAGCGTCAAATCACGTATAAGGGAGCCCCAATCAGGCTAACATCAGACTATTCATCACAAACCCTAAAAGCCAGAAAGGAATGGGAGGATATATTCAAAATTAGTATAATACAAATGGCATTCATGAAGAGAAAACAAACAAACAAACAAAAAGGCTATCTACAACCTAAGGA